AGAGTGCCTGGCATGGGAGATTTTAGGGAATGGCAATTGAAGGGAGGAAGAAAGGAATGGAAACTTATTCTCATAATCAATTGCCTTCTTTTATTTGTAAGGTCACTAGGGGCATGCAGAATAATCACTGCGGTTTCTTTTTGGTGAACAAGAACAACAAAAATAAACCAATGACCACAGGACACTTGCAGGACTAGGTATCCCACATTTAGTCTGGAGTATCACCTGCTCTCTGTAAACATCTTCTTTCAGGCTGAGGTTTCAATTGAGAACTGCTGTTCTCAGGGTACAGGTATTCTCAGTAGTTAAACCATGTTGTTCTTCCTTCTCCCTCTGTGACATTACCAGTGCCCACATGTGGTGTGTGTGGTAGGATTCTGAGGTTGACCGGGCACCAGGTATTCAGTCCTGCCTCAAAGCCTCCAGTTTCCTTTGGCATGCTGCATCTGCTGTCAACATTTGCCCTTCTCCCCATGAAGTGGCTTCCTGTGAAAGCTGTGATGGCAAGAACCACATTAATAGCAGGAACCAGTAGGTGGGGAGCTGATTGGCTGGAGGATGTCATGACRGTTCTCTTGAAGCTCTGATAAACAGCTGTCAATCTCAGCACATCTTAACCTTGACTTTGGAGGAAGCTGGCAGAGGATCCTGGTGGCTTCTCTGTCTCCCAAGACTTGATAACACCAGTGACTTTTAGTGAAGTGGTTTAGATTTGTCTGAAAGCCTTTTAACAATGAGGGGTCTTGATTCTGTAGTTTCCTGGTTGCTAATTATGTCGTTTCTCTCCCTGGTTGGAGCAAGAGAAGAAATAAATGAAGCAATGATAGGATTGAATACTGAAAGTATTTATTGGAATCCCTTTATATTCTGTTAGTCTAAAATTACGTGTTCTCATCAAGATAACTAATAATGAAAATAGCTCATTTAATCAAGTAGTTACTCTGTGTCAGCTACTGTACTAAGTTCACTTATTCTATCACCGTAACCCACAATCTAGGTTTTATCAGCAACAACTTGAATTCCAGTGGTGTATCTCTCACTCAAATACAGACAAGTAATTTTATTCAACGTTTGTTTGTGCATATAATGAATAAAGCGTGGGGATAGCTGGGAGAGCTCCATGGAGTCTGGAGTGGGGCTTGTCAGATCCTTAAGGGGAAACAGCTGAGCTCTTCTGAAGCTGGATTGGGGAATCCAGGAAGGGCATAGGAAAACCTTTAGAAATCTTTCCTGAAGAAAGGGAATCCAAGATTGTGGAAGACATGGTCTTCTCTTGTCTCTTATTGTCCAAATTTCTGAGTGTCCTAAGAAAATAAAACATGCTGCTGTGTGAACTTGAGACCAGAATGTGATTTGACAGTGAACTCTGCTAACCCCTTAGGGGTAGGTAAATCTCCCTTTCAGTGGTGATACTTGGCAGACAGAGAAATCAGCTGCTATCTCAGTGAAGTAGGACATGTGTAAAACTTTATTTTACAAATGCAAGAAATCATCAAAATTGAGACTAATTTAAGACTTTTTGTGTTTCTAATAGAACATCCTACATAAAATCAATCACTACAGATACCATTTGTCTTGTTCTGTAAATAGTAATCAGTTTATAGGCATTTGGTATATTTATATATGAATATATGTACATATGTATATAAATATACATTTTTAGTTAAGCTTTAATAGAACACTTCTAGACTTATATAAACTATAGTTGTTTTGAGTTGGAACATACTGTGTATTACTTTTGGGATTATAGAAACCACCTAAAATGTGAAATGAAGCGGGTAAATGAAAAATGTCTGTAAACACATTAAAGATTAAAACAAAGGCTGAGACCAGGGAAACCAACTGATCTTATGAATTAGTAATGAAAGTGCATTTACAGGTTATTGTCTTTCTGGGGTCTGAGTTTTAACAGCTGCTGATAGTTTTAACTAACAGAGGCCTGAATAGCCTGTAATAATTTGAGTATTCATTGCGTTTATGGATTGCTTCTTAATGGGAGCCCTGAATGGCATTCTCTTGCTTAAAGTATTGTTATAAAAATGGAATAAGTAAATAAATTTTGCAAACATGAAAGGTCCTTACTCTCTTATTCTCTGTGTTGTGTGTACATGTGATGTAAAATTATATGCTAAGCTTACTGAGTAGTAGTTTTAAGAGTTTGAAACTTCATTTAGATTCCATGAGTACAAATAGTGAAAATGTCTTAAGTATGTTGGACTGAAAAGGTTAAGTTTATGTCATAAACAGTATTGTAAGAATGTTTAGAAGGAATAGGAAGCCAACTATTTTAGAAGCAGATGTTGTCATATAAGCAATGAATGCATTAATAATATGTCATTTTAATGCATTATTTAATTGGGTACAAGGCCCTTTGCTGGTTACATACTATAACATGTTGTCCATATACTTGGTTTTACTCTGTGTACTTGAAAACAAACTGCAGTTTCTTTTCTTTTTTGGAGTACCAGGGATTGAAGTCGGGGCACTCAACCACTGAGCCACATCCCCAGCCCTATTTTGTATTTTATTTAGAGACAGGGTCTCACTGAGTTGCTTAGCACCTCGCTTTTGCTGAGGATGGCTTGGAACTTGCAATCCTTCTGCCTCAGCCTCCCGAGCTGCTGGGGTTACAGGGGTGCACCACTGTGYCTGGCCACAAACTGCAGTTTTTTAAAACTATTCTAAAATTCAAATATTTAAATTCTCAGTTTAAATATTTTCTTAACTCATCCTTTCTTCAGTTATCTATAAAGGGGAATGTTTTACTATCATCACAGATGATTATACTAGTTTTAAAACTAATCCAGTTAAAAGATACAGCGGACAAAAACCTTTTTTAAGCAAAGCACACATTTTTTTTTCCTTTTATGCTCCTACGTGATTTTTAAAATTTTGTTCTTTTTAAATATACATGACAGTAGCATGTATTTTGATATATTCTACATACATGGAGTATGACTATTCTAATTAGGATCCCATTCTTGTGGTTGTACATGATAAGTTACACTGGTCATGTATTCATATATGTACATAGGAAAGTTGTGTCTGATTCATTCTTTAGTCTTTCCTATTTCTCATCCTCCTCCCTTCCCTTCATTCCCCTTTGTCTAATACAATGAACTTCTATTTTTCCCTCTCCTTCTTACTGAGTGTTAGCATCAACATATCAGAGAGAACATTCAACCTTTGGTTTTTTTGGGGACTGGCTTATTTTGTCTCCATGATAGTCTCCAGATCCATCCATTTAACGGCAAAAGTCATAAAATCACTCTTTTTTTATGGCTGAGTCCCTTATATATATGTACATTTTTCTTTATCCATTCATCTGTTGAAGGGCACCTAAGTTGCCTCCATAGCTTGACTTTTGYAAATTGAGCTGCTATAAATACTGATGTGGCCGCATCACTGTAGGATGATGATTTTAAGTCCTTTGAGTATATGCTGAGGGGTGGGATAACCGAGTCAAATGGTGGTCCAATTCCAAGTTTTCTGAGGAATCTCCATACTGCTTTCCAGAGTGGTTGCACCAATTTGTAGACTCACCAGCAATCTATGAGTGTGCTTTTTCCCCAACATCCTCGGCAACATTTATTGTTACTTGTCTTCTTGATTGTTGCCATTCTGACTGGAGTGAGTTTTAATTTGCATTTCTCTAATTGCTAGACCATTTTTATATATTTGTTGACCATTTTTATTTTTTCTTCTGTGAAGTACCTGGGTTTCCCATTTTGTAAATTGAGCTGCTATAAATACTGATGTGGCCACATGATTAGGTTGTTTTTTTAAAAATGTGTGTGTTTTTTAAGTTTTTTGAGTTGTTTTTATATCCTGGAGATTAATACTCTTTCTTAGGTGCAGGTGGCAAAGATTTTCTCCCATTCTGTAGACTCTTTCTTCTCATTCTTGATTGTTTTCTTTGCTGTGAAGGAGCTTTTTAGTTTGATCCCGTGTGTTCATTGACTCTTGATTTTACTTCTTGTGCTTTAGGAGTCTTGTCAAGTTAGTTCCTAAGCTGACATGATGGAGAGTTGAGCCTACACTTTCTTCTATCASGGGCAGGGTCTCTGGTCTAATGCCTACTTCCTTGATCCACTTTAAGTTGATTTTTGAAAAACATATATTTTAAGTAATTTTTTAAATACTGCATCTGAAACACAACGTTAAAAATACATAAGCAGGGGCTGGAGTTGTGGCTCAGAGGCAGAGCGCTTGCCTAGCATGTGTGAGGCACTGGGTTTGATTCTTAGCACCACATATAAATAAATGAATGAAATAAAGGTCTATTAACAGTAACAAAAATATTTTTTAAAAAGTACATAAGCATGTTATGTTACTCATTATTAAAATTATCTTAATAGAAATCACAAATTGATATTTTTSCTTTTAATTACAGAAGGGAGAAAATTCAAAATAAGTTGAATTTCTCTCTTACTTATTATGCACTGTACCAGATACTTTGGAAAGAGATAAAGAACTCTCCTTCAGGGGCTTATGGAATTAAAGATGGCATAGAAGATTTTTTAAATATATTTTTTAGTATGGTGGTAAATGCCAAGGAATGTGATAAAATTAAGAAGTGTCCCAGCTGGGCGCAGTGGTACTTRCCTGTCATCTCAGCGGCTGGGGAGACTGAGGCAGGAGGATCCTGAGGTCAGAGTCAGCCTCAGCATCAGTGAGGTGCTAAGCAATTCAGTGAGACCCTGTCCCTAAATAAAATACAAAACAGGGCTGGGGATGTGGCTCAGTGGTCCAGTGCCCCTGAGTTCTCCCCAGCACCCCCCAGAAAAAAAAGAGTGTCCCAAAAGTAAAAAGAATGAAAGTTCTGAAAGTGGGGATGCTCACATTTGATGATCTTAGAAGAACTCCATTCATTTGGTTACCAACCGCCTGTCTTCTTTTTGGACCGAGGCCATCCACTTTGGTTCTGCTGACCTGTTTATTCTACTGAAGAACCCAGTCAGCCCCGCTGGGTAACTCGCATTGTCCTCCTCTGTTTCCAGGCATACTTCCGACAGGGTGTTGCCCTCCAGTACCTTGGACGTCATGCCGATGCCCTGGCAGCCTTCGCATCTGGACTGGCTCAAGACCCCAAGAGCCTCCAGCTTCTGGTGGGGATGGTAGAAGCCGCCATGAAATCTCCCATGAGAGGTAAATATGATGAAAGTACTTGGTCTGACCTTAATTTGAAGTTAAACATTTGTAACCTTCTAAGACTTTAGGCTCAGGGACAGGAAATTGATAAGATATAAAACTGAATGGGCTGGGAGTGTGGCTCAGTGGTAGAGCGATTGCCTAGCCTGGGCCAGGGCCTAGGTTCAATCCCCAGGATGGTGGGACAAAAGGGTGGTCWCAGATTGGCTAAGATCTGACATCTTACACAAAGGAAGATCAAGACACACTGCCAGTCATTGACGTTAATGAGGCAGAAGAGTATGGAAGACCACTGGCCTGGACATGGAATATATTCTTCAATTTTTCATTTACTAACTACATGACCATGAGTTGACCACTTCTCCAGAGTTTATGGTTCTTTAAATAATTTCCTTTTTTATTTTTTGTAGTTCTGAGATTCTGTAATTCTAAACCACAATGCCTCTAATAGTAAATTGATTTCTTCAGATGAACCAATATACCTTCTAGAAATAAATAACTGAAGATATTAGACATTCTTTTGTTTCCTAAAAGAGAATGTGTACCTAACGAGAGGTGGTATCTAATATTTTCCAGAGGAGCAATAAGAGATTATGTTGAATTAAAAGGAGAGAGGGGCTGAGGCTGTGGCTCAGCACTAGAGTGGTCTCCAAGCAYGTGCGAGGCCCTGGGTTCAATCCTCAGCACCACATAAAAATAAAAACAAATAAAAATAAAGGTATTGTGTAAAAAAAAAAAAAAAAGCAGAGAGAGCAAAACAAGATGAATAGACACTATAGTTTACATTTATTTTTCCCTGTTATTTTTTCTACTTTATTGTAACCAGTATTCTGGAAAAACAAGCAAATGGAATGAAAATGGTACTGTAAAGGTTAGAGTAGCTTTCTGGCCCCAAATAGATTGGCTTCATTTTGAGGAACATTGATTTTTTGTTTTTTTCTTTTTTCTTTGCGTTGCTGGGATCGAACCTAAGGCCTTGCTCATGCTAGGCAAGTGCTTTACCTTTACTGAGCAACACCCCCAGCCTGGGAACATTGATTTTTGAGGAATGAGCTGTTGGGAATATTTGACTGAAAGCGTGTACCAGTTGTTGTCTTTAAGTGGCAACGGAGTCACTAAGGCATAGTCATGGCATACAGAAGGCAGCTAATGCCTGACCCTAATTAGGTTATGTCAAGCAGAACTCTGATTTTGACTCAAAAATGATGCACTTTTGAATTTTTCATATGGGAGAATAAACCTAAAAATTTCAATGGTAGTATAATTTGACATTTTATCTAGATTTGAAATGTAGCATTAGATGGTTTTATTATACTGACTACTATCGTACTTGGCTCAAAATATGTGTTAAATAAAAGTGTGATGGACTCAATGCTGCTCGTATGGTCTCTGGACGATTCATATCTGTAAAACATCTTTTTCCTGAAAGTTAGGGATTTTGTGCTTTAGAAAAAAATGTGGTAAGAAAACCTCCCTTCATGCAACTTTATAAGCCATACAGAGCCRAGTCTTTGCTGCAGGAACCTAATGGCTTCTCCCACCGTGGGACCTGCTGTTAATAAACTCTGACTCAGAGCAGATGCGCTTTGGAGCTTTAGGGCTGGGGGTGGGGAGGGGAGGGACTGACAACAAAAACCAACCTGTCTCTCTTATATATTTTTTTCTAACATTTTCCCATCCTCTCCTTAAATCCCCCACAAAGAATATACATGGGATATTTTATTTAGTTCATGAGGATATCACTTCTTTATTCAGGTGTTTGTGCTGCTGCCTTAGAATATTAGAGTGAATGTGTTGCTATCAGCAGAATCAAACTTATAGTTTTTTCTTTGAAGCAATTTGTTTAGATAACTGTAAGGAAACCTTCCCTGCACTGAGAAAAATAGCTCAGAGCTGCTGTCACCCTTAGGGTTTTCTGTGCCACTTCTTTGTGTCTTACAGTGAGTGACCTAAGGCTGACCCTGGAGAAGGCTGCTTCTTACAGGTGCCTGGAGCGCTTCAATATTTTCTCCTCTTCCCTTAAGGCAATTTAATTTATCTGGTTTATTTTTAGCGTTGCCTTTACCACTGTATCTACTCCAGGTGGGCTTCTCTTAACATTTTATAGGCTGTTGCTTTGCACACTGCTGTTCTGCACATCATCCTATATCTTTTTAAAACTGTTTTTATTAGTCATCGMAGTTATACATGGTAGTGGGGTTCATTTGGCCTAATCACACACACATGGAATGTAATATGCTCCATTTCAGTCCCCAGTGCTTCCTTTCCCACCGCCAGTCCCTCCCCGTTGCTCTTCCTCTCTTCTACTGGACATCTGACATCTTAATGACCTCTTTTTTGTCATGTGATTGTAATTTACAAAATCTATCATCACCTGCTGCTGGTTTATTTACCCACCATTTATTTTACCTTCCTGCATCTTTAAAAAAAATTTATAGTAGATGAACACACAATACCTTTATCTCATTTTTTTTTAATATGGTGCCTCACATGTGCTAGGAGAGCGCTCTACCAACTGAGCTATAGACACAGCCCACCTTCCTGCATCTTTATAAGTTTTCCCCAATGTCACATGGCTAAGGGATCTGGACACTTCATAGGTAGGTCTTTTCTGTTGTATGAATTGTTTTTATTTTGTAATTCTTTTTTTTTTTTTTTGTACTGGGGATTGAACCAAGGGATGCTCCACCACTGAACCACATCCCTTCCCCTTTTTATATTTTTATTTAGACATAGGGTTTTGCTAAATTGCTGAGGCTGGTTTTGAACTCTCGACCCTTCCACCTCAGCCTCCCAAGCCACTGGGATTGGAGGAGTATGCCACCATGCCCGGCTGTTTTGTAATTCTTGAATGCATCAGAGAAAACTCCCTAGTCCAGGAGATTATAAAAGCAAACAGAACTTCCATGACCAACACAGTGTTTCTATGGTGGGTCTGTCTGGAAGTTTTAAGATTTCATTTTTGTTAAGGTGGAACCAATTTATATTAATATACTCTGTTTGCTATATTTATACAAATACTATATTTATCTATATGAAAACTAGCTTAATTTATTGTTATTATTTCCCATATTTCTCAGTGAATTAAATCTGCTTTATTTTTATAGTGTGACTTATATTCACAAACTGGCTGTCAGTTTAACTATTTCTCTTTGTGCATTTGGTTACAGTATGGTATACAATGAATTTCTCTTAAATCATTAACAGAAATATAAAAGTAAGTAGAGATATAAACTGGTACTCAGATGATTTCTCAACTTACCCTTTGACATTTTCCATTTCTTCTTAGCTGGTCCTTCAGCAGTTTCAGGTCACAGGATCTGGTCGATGTTTAAGCAGAGCTGGAGGCTGTAGCACACTACTGCTGCGGACCGTGGATTTAATAAGACAATTAGAAAGCGAGATTGAGTTTGCCTTTATTTGTTCCTCTAAAGATGCAGGGCGGCTTCTTGCTGAGGGTTCTCTTGTGTGTATTTTCTCTCCTTTTGTTAATTTAGTGATCTAAAGGCTATTACATTTATGGGCTGTCACCTGTTGTGTTTCTAACAGCTCTAGAGGATCCCAGGAAGCTGCTTTTATAAAATGCCCATAGAAAATGGCTGTTGAATGCATAAACTTTTCTCTCAGGTTGAGCGGGGCTCACCTTTTATTGGCCTGATGTCCACCCTCAGTGGACCCTTGCCCTCTGACTCTCTTTTAGATGCACCTTTCACAGGAGGCCTACTTTTGAAATGCTGTGTGAAAAACTCAGGCTTCCTCCCAGCCAACAAGGGTGGGATCTAATTCCAGCACTGCCGTTTGCCAGTCCACTGGCTGAGCAAGGGCCCTGCCCGGCTGTGCGCAGTGCTCCTCTGTAGAGGTAGATGGTAGCACAGGCCAGGCCCTACGAAGGCAGCTCTATAGGGGGCCTTCTGCTTTGCAGATGATGTCCAGAGTCTCACTGAGGAGGGGAGGCAGCAGCAGTGTTAACCTGCTCTTGTGTTGTGGTGGCAGAAGGAACRCTTCCCAGTACACCAAGTTCTGCATATGAACATTCGCTGAGAAGTTCTCTCAGGCCTGAGCATGAGACAGCTTGCTCCCTTTTATTCTCCTCTCCAGGTATCCCAGCTAACCCCCTGCTGTTCTTGAAAAACACTGTGTTTTCCATTATGTCCTGTTTCCTGCAGACATTGCTTCCTCTGAGGAGCCTCCCCATACCTTCCCTTTAGGATCACATAGCACCTTCTACCGGTTCTAAGAACTCTGGCTTGGAAGCTGTCTCATTAATTTATATATTACCAAGAAAGAAGAAGACACTGATGATTAAATGCTGGCAAGGTCCTTTCTTCTCACTTTTTATTTGTATATATTGAAAGAGATCTTTTAGACCTATTCAGATGTAGTGGCAAACCATCGTGAGGCACCCTTAAGTTCAGGATACAGAATCCCAAATTCAGAAATGTTAATACGTGAGTGAATGTGCACCTCAGAAGTAATGAGGATCACATGTCTCTCAGCTCAGAGTGTTGTTTTGTTGGCCTGTATACATCCCTATAAGCTCTTCACGTGTCAGGAAACGTGACTTTGTTTACCTTAAACTCTGAAAGCCTTTACATTTCAAAAACCCATACCCGTGAATCAATCAGTGTTGGGAAGGGCCTTTTTGTTCTTATGGAGCTGGTTTGACCTTGACTGTTTCATGTATTATGCATAGATTCTAGAAAGAAAAACATCTTAATAGCTGTAGACTCCAAATCTCTGTTGTATCTAGCCTGACAAAAATCACAAAGTTAGTCTCTTTTCTAAACACTCAACTTTACCCTGGAACAGGCATTAGAATAATAGAGTTGCAAAGAATCTTAGAGATCATCTATACATTTAAAAAAATCATCTCACCATCTCTTTTTCATCAGAAGCATGTACAACTAGCCAGGTGTGCTGGTGTGCACAGAGAGCCTGCTAGGCAGGCTGAGGCAGGAGACTAGCCAGGGCCAGGAGTTGGAGACTGACTGGCCTAG